TAGCTAAGCAAACATGCTTAATTCAATCACAACTGGAATAAATTGTGGTTTGAGTTTACCATGCAATTCCCAAGCAAAATATCTTGTTGTTAGCTTAGCATCATGCTAACATATTATTGTTAGCTTGTTAGTTGAGTTTACAGTGCAAATCATAAGTAAAACATCTTGCTAGATTAGCAGTATTCTAAAGCCAAACTCAATCCAATCAATGGTAGGACAAGGTTACCACGACTTTCTCAAGGAAAAGAGTATCTGGATGTTAGCTTAGCAACATGCTAATGTAAGACTTTTGGAATCAATTATGGGCCCAGTCTATTGTGTGTTTCACAAAAAATAAAAATAAAACTAGTGTGCTTAAAGTGTTATCTTAGCAACATGCTAAAGGAAAACCCTATTGGAATTCATTGTAGGTTTAGTCTAGTCGTGTGAGGAACACTCTTTGTGTGGCTACAATTTAATTTGTTCCCATGTTAAAGATTTTAAATCAGGTGTAGCAGCTGGACTGATCAGAAACACAATTGACCTTGGGGTTGGGATGGCTAAGCCACGCCCCCAAATGTGATGAGCCAATCACAGTGCGCATAGCTAACCCAATACACTCGGAAATTCTCTGCTTCCACGTCCATTGTTTTTATATGTTTTTTTCTAGTCATTTTAAGTTTAAAATGGTCAAGCGGTGTGCATGGGGTACATGCAACTCCGACACTAGGAATCCTGAGAGGCTGGGTGACGGTGTGTATTTTTTTACTCTTTCCCAAGCCACATCTCAACCGAGATAAGTGTCTGCTCTGGATTAAGTAATGCGATTAAGCTATGCAGTAGACCATAACACCAACACAACCCAAACAAGGATGTCTACATCTGTTCTAACATTAGAATGGCCGGACATTAGAAAACTTTAACGTTAGCTTCTAGCTGCATTGCACATCATGAAGCAACGATTACAAAAAAAAAGTCCACTTACATAATTCTACGTGCTTAGGAGGTGTTTTTAGACGAGCATGTTAAGTTGTGAGACGAATCACAGCTACTTCAGAGAACAGCACTATAGGAACCACCAGTGATGTAAGTGTATGCTGATTGGTCGAATACAGGCGAAAAACTGTATATTATCTACTCCAGAAGCTAGCTCTACACTGTAAAACATATCCGTGATTTTAACAGTAAAAGACTGTAAAAATGCTACAGTGCAAAACTGTTAATTGGTTAACAGAAAGTTTCCGTACTTTATACGGTAAATAACTGTGATATAATTTTACAGTAAAATACCGTTAAATTTACAGTTTTTGAAAGTGAAAAAGAACAAATCGTTGTATAATTTACAGTGAAAAATTCCCACAATTCCCTGTGTGACACTTCACATTTGATGTATTTTTGTTGAAATAACTATAGTTCCTCATAGTTTTATTTTATTTTTTTTCTAATCAGTTATGTACATTAGGGTTTTATGTTACAATTAATGTTGTTAAATTAATGTTTATTGCATTTTTTAATTTCATGTGTGTTACCATGATGGGTTTTAATGTTTGTGTGAATGACACTGTGCAGCTTCTTTATAAATAAGTAATCACTTATGATGAGCTGTGATGATTGATGGTTGTCAGTGTATTACAATGGCCTAAAACAGATATCAATAAGTTGGTAAATAAACATTTTATCAGAAAATAAAATACGGTTTATTAGTGTAAATTTTAAGTTAAGTCTGTAAAACCATTAACGTTCCTACCGTATTTTTAACGGTAAAGTTCTGGTAACCACAGCTGCTGTTTTGTTTACCGTAAAATTTACGGTTTATTTTTTACAGTGTACGAACATGGAAAACAATTATAGATGGATCTCTCAACCTTTACACTAAGGATACAAGTATTAATTATGCCTCTACAAATATTTATAATTATAACGAGTTATAATTGATTACTCCTATTTCACTTGAGCTAATTTCTGTTAGGATGCTGCTTTACTAGTTAGCTGCCAATGTGGGCAGTAGACAACATGAGCGCTCACTGTGTTTTGGAATAGGGCTTTTGAACATCAGAATTCAAGGACACAAATATAAATGCTTCCTTCTCTTTTATCTTCTTACGACTTTCTGCTTCATTAAGAGCCATCTTCGCTTTAGCCAGATACTGCCAGAAGTTGGGTACAGTTTTGAATGTGTTTTTATATCAAGTGATGGTAATATGCACAACAGCATTGAAGACGTAGTTCGCCGGGAAGTTCTGAACGCGGAGATGAGACAAGGAGAAACATCAATGTGTATTTTTGATGTTGTTGTGAAGCTTATAGGTTGGCAGTGAAAATGACATGGACAAAACAATGCAGCTGGTTTTATTATACTAGTAGCTGATATTCATCATATGAACTGGGTTGTTCTGTGATATCTAATCCGAGGCTAATTATGGATCTCTTTGATTAAAACAAAAGTAATTAAGACATTATTAGTGAGCACCAGTCATGGATAAGCTTTGTAATTTATAGCACACATCACAAGAGATGAACAAAGAATCCCTGGTCTTATGGCAAACATTATCAGCGAGTTTATTATAATAAAAGCCTCATGTTAGCAAATTTACTTTTAATCATCTCAAAATTTGTTCAGTGTTTTGGTCTTGCCCCCTCTGTAGACTTTCTTAAACATCTCTTGTCTTCATAAAAATAAAAGAAAAATATCGGATGGTGATATCGGAGGGTTAAATGCTGTGTTTCTATTCAGGTCTGGGATCATAGCGTCATTCCCGAGGGTGCACTTCCTCCATCCAGCCCCACGCCAAGGGCAGGAATAGGTGAAAGACTTACACGCAAGAACACTTGATGAATAATGCAGAAAAATCAAATGCTCTTCAGTGACTCACAGCCAACGGTCAGGAGCAGGTGAGGTGTGCCAGAGGTACTGTTGTGCGTTTGTGTTTCTATATACAATATATCATTTACAGACTTTCAGTAGTTTGCAATCAACAAATCAAACAAAAGTAGCTGAAATAGTTCAGTAAAACTGTGATTTTTAAGTGGTTTCCCCAAATTCAGCTTAAAATGCAACTTTTAAAAGTACAATATGCAGGATTTTTCGCCACCAGGGGTCGCTAACCTCTTACAATAACAAAGGTGTATTAAGCAGAATTATGGATCTTGTCGTCAGGCTGATGGATCTTTTATGGATGAGTGAATACATTGATGTGTTTAACATGATTGCTAGACGTATACCAACGCCACACGCAACGCGAGTCACGTGGATATAAAGGAATAAGGACATTTCAGTCTACCGAATTACATGCAAGAATTAATACTCACACAGGTAAGTTCATTAGAGAAATTAAACTTGAGGTAATGCAACACTGTTTCACTTGTTCTAACAGTTTCACTATCACACTAAACGGCATTTGTGGCTGGAATGTTGTTAGTTAGGTTCAACTGTATGACAAATGCTAGCCTTGCTCTATTCTGTGAGGCGCTTTTGTAACGTCACGTAATACGTAATTACGTTCAAAAGGTCACGGGCGATGTAGCCGGAAGTACAGAATCAAAATCGTCCGACATCGTTGTTTTACCTTTTAACTCATTTTTTTGTAAACGGCGTTTGAGTTAGTTTGCACGTTCAACCTATGCGTTCAACTTGTAAACACTGACTCTGTACTTACGGCTACGCCGCCCGTGACCTTTTGAACGTAATTACGTATTACGTGACGTTACAAACGTGCCTCACAGAATAGAGCAAGGCTAGCATTTGTCCTTAGAAAAGTTACATTTTTGGAATAAGCTTTGAAATAACCGAACGTTTCGCATGATAAGACCCTTATTCATCGTCTGGTGTCGTTTAAAGACATTTGAAGCTGCATCTGAAACTGTTATTAACTGTCTTTTCAACCTTGGACCGTCTGGTTCCCATGTAAGTCCATTATATGGAGAAAAATCCTGGAATGTTTTCATCAAAAACCTTAATTTCTTTTCGACTGAGGAAAAAAAGACATGGACATCTTGGATGACATGGGGGTGAGTAAATTATCAGCAAAAGTTTTTTCAAAAGTGAACTAATCCTTTAACAGTTACAGAGATATTGAATCAGTGTCAAACACTGGATTTATTGAAGATTAGATAGTAGGGCTGTTTTTGTATTTTTAATTTATTTATATGAAAACACCTATATGGCACCCAGATGTCTAATATCCAGTACTTTTACAAATTGAAATGGAATTCATAAATATAAAGGCTTAAAATAAATCATCTAGGCAGAGCATTATCTACTAGAGAATAAATCTAAAAAGGTGCCTCTGTGGTTACTATCTATACACTCAGGTTCATGAAATGAGGTCGGATTAGTTTATGCATTATTAAATACACTCAAGATAAAGGCCAGGCTATGGATCACTTTACAGCCATATGGAAACAAACCCACTGCTAATTCCAGCAGATCCATTTGAAGCCATTATTAATGGGGCATTAGTGCAGAGTGCCGAATTAAAATGGTTTGCTGGATGTAGAGGGCTTTTTATGGAAATACTAGAAATACGATATGCTAATCGACCGCTCATTCACTGCTGATTTGAAGTGGAAAAGGTGTTTCTATCTTAGAAGCGACAGCTCTTTCTTCGCCGTGATATTTAAATCACAGAAGTTGTATGGCTGTAAATGATGTGAGTGCTTTGAGAGGAGAAGAGAAAGGCGATCATTAAATGCCCGATCAGATAAAGGCCGGCAATTTCCTCCAATTACCAACCCAATCAACACCATCAGGGGTAAAATAACTGCATCAATAGCCACGAGTGAGGGCGGTTTGTTTACAGTGGAGGAATTGAGGCCCTCGATTGGACAATAAAACGTGCAACAGGAATACACAGCATATAAATTACTGTACTATGAACAAAATTTACACAATATACCGAAGTTTGCTTTGCAATCTCCAACAATGCAATGCTATGGACACAGGGAAATTACAGCAAAGGACATGGAAGACATAGATGCTGTGTTTGGAATAGCATACTAAGATGTTTACAGTATGTACTTACTGCACAGATTTGGATGCCTGAGACCTGAACTTGGTAAACTCTCCTGGTGCAGTCCACTCAGATCCCAGCTGAAACAGAGCAAACCCACAAGTTGTTAATGTTGTAATGTAATTACAGTGCAATTAATGTTGGGCAATTACGGTGGCCGGTGGGCATTTTGGGGGCACCTTAATCAAAAGTGCCCCTCTGAAAAATTATCCACAATAATATTGAGGTAAAAAAACAAAAAACAAATTGCATTTGAATTATAAGTAAAAATATAGCTGCGAGCAGCGATTGCGGGCCCAAGCCGGTGGCACCGCAACCCCGATGCCTTTAGCTACCCAAAGGCACTAAATCGCTGGCGCTTTATCGCTGCTCACATCTATATTTATATTTAATATAAAGCCGGTGGCACCGCCACCTTGGTGCCTTTAGGGTTATTCTGTACGACGTGTAAAAACGTAACCCCCGCTTTGACTATCAAAAAGAAGTGTATTGTAGAGCTTGCATCAATGCGGACTCGATGCGCTGTGCGCTGTAACTCCATGTGGCTTTAAGCGCATCATTCTCCACTCGGGATGCGCATAAGCGTTTTGTGCCACACTGTACTGAGCCTTTCATATCATAATGCAGTGACGCAATGACAGATTATTAATTGCCTTTCTTGTTCTGTTCTATCTATTATATGTTGATAATAGATAGGACAGAGCACTAAAAACCTCAAACAAAGCACTAAAAACTTAAGCTGTTTGCTGTGTAGTCTGAGAATGAGCTGTTTGATTTGCACCCTCTTCCTCTTCACTGTCCTCCATAAAAACCAGCTATTCAGGTCCATGTTGTTCTAGAAAGTTTGTATGTTGCTGCCTCAATTAACATCTCTGCTATACATTTAAAACATGGCTATATCTAAAATAATTTATCTTTTTGATTTTTGTTATCTTGTTTTTCATGAATATTTTACAACAATACAAAGAGCAATGTGTATTTTCCATTAATATAGTTTGTAATGGCTTTTTTTGTCATAGATTATAATCATATATTTTTTGGATTTGTTATTTATCTTTATAATGAAGTTGTCTGTATTAAGTAGATTGTGTTTAACACACACAAGAGTGATTTATTAGTTCAACACATAGTTATAGAAATTCTACTTTATCTAAAAAAAACCCTGCACTTTATACACACACACACACACACACACACACACACACACACACATAAATACATGTAAATAAAAATCCAAAAAAAAACAAACATCAAATGTGTTTTTAGTCAGAGTATTATTTTATACAGAAACAAATATTTGTAATTCAGATAAGAATGAAGTTAGTGTTTTAAAATCTTAAGGAAAACAAATATATTGAAATATAGCACATGAATTTTAAATTCATTCAACTTCAATTACAAATACAATCTTACTTTTATTTAAAGCAAACTATACATTTAAAAGATGGGGGTTATATGCCTATTTTGTCATTTAAAAAAATACAAAATTGTTATGCAAAAAGACAAAGACTTAGAGACAAGGACTTGTAGGAAAAATCGCAGCCAGCCACACACACACACACACACACATAAACACAGACAACAGCCCTCCCCTCCCCACACAGACACACACACACACCCACACACACACACACACACAGAGAGAGAGAGAGAGAGAGAGAAAGAGAGAGAGAGAGAGAGAGAGAGAGAGAATCGCAGGGGAAATAAATCCATTCAAACTACAATATCTGACTTTCTGTTGCTCAGAGCGAATGACTTTAAATTGGAAAGTTGATCGGCTTGACGAGAACAATATACGTGGTAAGTTTTGTAACTGTAGGTAAATTGAGCAAAGTTATAACACACTTTATGTGTCCTTTTTTAGTCATAAAATTCATTTCCTCGCCACGGCCAGACCGTTCGAGATATCAAAAATCCGTCCGGAATTGAGCATCCTCAATGTCTTGACTTCATGCACACCGAGTTTGGTTGTGATTGGTAAACACATGCATTGTGATTTGATGTATTTCTCCTAGGACAATTATTCAAACAACCCATAATTCATAATTCATAAATAACTTCCATTTGAACTGTCATAAAACTTAGAGCACGAAAGTTGTTTGGCCTGATGTGATCTTTAATTGTACCGAGTTTCATATTAATTCATGCAAGTGTGTTTGATTTATGGACAAATTTTTGAATCCCAGTCCAGGGGGCGCTGTCGAGCCGCCCTGCCACGCCCGGTTACCAGCTTCAGCCCGGCCCTGATGGCCATGGGTTCTGACCCGTGTGCAAAGTTTCAAGAGTTTTAGAGGATGTTAAGGCCCCCGAAAATGCCAGAGAAGTTGCACACAGCAAATAAAGGGTTAAAATTAACCTGACAGGCGCCCCTCCTCTCACTCACACAGAGAGACACTGAGAGACTGGCAAAATTCTGAGATTTTCTCTACATTCAAACAAACATATCTGACTTTCTGTGGGTCCTAGCTAATGAGTGTCAATTAGAAAGTTGTCCGGCTCGAGGAGTACAATATACATACTGATTTTTGTAACTGTAGATAAAACTAACAACCCCACTTTTGTCAAAAGGTGGCGCTACTGAGCCCTCACCACACCCGTTTCTGAAACGTTGCACATGTCTACTGGCTAATAAATGTGATGTGTCTGTCGAGTTTCATGCAATTTGAAGCATGCTAAGAGTCTCAAAAGCATCCTAAAAGAATGGTAAAGTTTGATGCGTTGCCACGGCAACAGTTTCAAAGATATCAAGAATCCATTTACAGGTCTTCATCTGCCATGTATTTGCATTATACAGATGAAGTTTGAAGCAAATCGAGTTAAAATTAGAGGGTGATTTCAAAGCATTTTGAAAATGACACACTTCCTGCTGCCAGTTGGTGGCGCTATAACTTTGACTCACAATAGTCACATCCATGTGATCGTCCTCTTACAGCGAACACACTGCTGAAGTTTCATCAAGATCGGTTGATGTGTGCTGAAGTTATGATACACTTCCTGTTTCACGTTTCTCGCCATAATTTTGTTTCCTCGCCACGGCCAAACCGTTCGAGATATCAAAAATCCCCTCGCAAACTTTCATCCTCAATGTCTTGACTTCACGCTGACCGAGTTTCGTCGAATTTGGATCAAAGCTCTAGGAGGAGTATTAAAAATTCCATTGCGAGTGTTTTACGAACAACCCTAAATAGCCGACTTCCTGTTGGGCTGGGGTAAAAAGTAAAAGCACGAGGTATAGATGAAACGATGAGATCAACATGTGTACCGAGTTTCATATTATTACATGCAAGCGTGTTTGATTTATGGACCAAGTGTTCGGACCCCGTTCCAGGGGGCGCTGTCTAGCCCCCCTGCCACGCCCGGGTACCATCTTCAGCCCGGCCCTGATGGCCGCGGGTTCTGACCCGTGTGCAAAGTTTCAAGAGTTTTTGAGCATGTTAAGGGCCCCAAAAGTGCCCGAATAGTCGTATAAATAATAATAATAATAATAAATATAGCTGCGAGCAGCGATGGCGGGCCCAAGCCGGTGGCACCGCAACCCCGGTTCCTTTAGTTACCTAAATGCACCCGGGTGGCGGTGCCGAAGGCTTTGGCCCTTTTATGATTAAATGTTAAAACGGCTTGCCATACTCTGTCATTTCGACTAGTCACAATTATGTTACAGATATCTTAAATGATAATACAAACTATCCAAAATGTAATTACGAATAGACAGAAAGACGTTGTTGATATCTACAATGTTAATTCCGGACAGGCAAACTTAGCTTTTAAATGTTAAAAGGGCTTGCCATACAGGGACGTAGGCTCAGAGAGAGGCTCACCATATTCAAACCAAAATATCTGACTTCCTCTTGGTCCGAGCTAATGACTATGTATTAGAAAGTTGTCCGGCTTGAGGAGTACAATGTATATACCGATTTTTGTAACTGTAGATAAAACTAACAACCCCACTTTTGTCAAAAGGTGGCGCTATTTAGTCCTTGCACTATGCCCGTTTCTGAAACTTTGCACATGTCTACTGGCTAATAAATGTGATGTATCTGTTGAGTTTCAAGCAATTTCAATTTCAATTTGACTGTTGAAAAGAAGTGCGCCGATTAGATACTCAGGATCGGTATCGGCTCTGACACTGCCATCTTTGACGAGGCTGATTCAAATTCTATATTGTGCATATACTATTCTATGTTAGGCACAAAGGCACAAAAACTTTCTAAAGTACCATAAAGTTTTTGTGTACTGTATTATTAGTGTTCTGAAGCTATGTGATATAGAAATTAATATTTAAGTCATTAAATTCAAGAACACAAACTTTTCCCTCTCTGCGCCTGTCAGTCATTCTCCATTCAGCATTCAAACAGCACGTCACATTCGGTTACAGTCAATGATGAAACGATCTTCAAGATGATTGAATGTTAATCCTATTATACTGGATCTTTAAGATAAAGGTCTAAAGGTCTATATTTTCGAATGAAGAAACTTTTTCTTGCTGGACTTTATTGCTGTAACTTAATCGTATTACTTTCTACCGGGTGTCGGACGCTGTCGGTTAGATCACAACACTAGAGTCAGAGCACTATAATTGTTCTTCACGCACACAGTAACTGAAATTTAAAACCTTTAAAAGAAAAGGCTCAATAAACTATTGCATAGATAGATAATGTATAATAGACTGTTCATAAATATGTATTTCCTTTGTGCTTTGAACTTTTCAATACGGACTCACTGCGCTGTAACTTCATGTGGCTTCAAGCACATCATTCTCCGCTCGGGATGCACATAAGTGCTTTGTGCTGCACCGTATTGGAGCCGTAATATCATAATGCAGTGACGTAATGACAGATTATTAATTGCCTTTCAATTATATGTTGCTGCGTCATTAAACATCTGTCCTATGCATTTCAAACATGTATAGCAGCCATGGCTATATGTTTTTATGATTTTTGTTATCTTGTTTTTCATGAATGTATTTTTCAAAAATAAGAGCAATGTGTATTATCTATTATTAATATGGTTTATAATAGCATTTTTGTCATAGATTATGACAAAGTAATCATATGATCCACCAGCGAGGAACCAGCAGAAC